TTTTTTTTTTTTTTTTTTTTTTTTTTTAGCTTTTTTCCTTCTTTACCTCATCCTCCAGTTCCTTATCCTTTAGTACTTAGATTAAGACTGTCTTCTTCTCAAGAACCTTTCCTTGCACCTCTCCGTGCCCAATGCCTACCGCACATGTAGGTATCCTTGTCACAGACCAGTAGTAATGTAGTAGTTATACTGTCTTATAATTGATTTGTGATCTGCTCATTAGATTTTCAGCTCCATGAGGACTGAGAATAGTTTTCACCTCTGAATTATCCACATCTGGCCTTGCTGCAGTAGTTACAGCCTGGAAAGTAGATATTTGGTCTTTTTTTTTATTTTTTTTTATTCATTCAGAGCATAGATAAAAGTAAAAGCTAAGAGAGGCCTTCATCGAAATTGAGTCCATAACTTTATTCTTCTGATATAACTATCTTAGCTTTCATCATTTAAAGTGCTTTGGAATCCACTTCCAGTATAAAACCTACTATAAATGATCATGTTTTATACCTGAAAGTTTGAGGTTAATTTTATGAAACTGTTCATTTTCTTTTCACAGGTTAGTTGAAACATTAAAGAGCAGACAGTAATTCAGCCACTTCCATTCCTCTGAAATGAAAACTACATCACATATCCCTTTGGAAACAGTTAAGTGTGCTTCGTGCTACTAAATGTTAAAACTCTGTGATTGTTGGCATATACTGAACTGACTACAATATTTGTAATAAATATAAGTATTCGGTTGGAAGGGTAGCTTACCATGATTGAACCAACTGAATGTCTGTTTTGTGTAATGTAAAATCCTTCCTTTTTTGTGTTAAGTATATACTATTTGTATGGAATTCTTATTCAAATAGAGTCCTATTAAAGAATGTATTCTCATTGAGGAAAATACCCTCCTATTTTTGAATCAGTGGTTGCATCTTGTTTGTATAAACAATAATAAATATCTTAACTTATATATTTCCCTCTAAAATGAATTAAGTTTTTTCCAGAGATTAGATTCAATAGGCTAGGAACATAGTTTGAGTTAATATGTCTTCATTTGCTTAATGACTACTTTATTTAAGCTGTTTTGTTTAAAAGCTTTTGGTTATAGGCATGAAGCTGAAGTAATTATTTTGGCAGTTAAAACCTCACTCACCTCTGTAATTGTCATGTTATAGTACCATATAGTTGTTGGAAAATTTTTACATATAGGAACCCTGTCATATAGGTAGCACCAGTTGTAATGTCTTCATTTTATGGATGTGGACCCAAGATTTTGATGAGTTGGCTTGCTCAGGATCACCTGCTAGTGAGGTGGGAACAGGACTCAAAGTGAGATTTCAGGGTCAGAAGCTTGTCCCATAAACTGTACCATTAATTCCTGAAAATGTCAACACTGGCAACACAGACAACTGTAACTGCTTAAACAAAATTATGCTAATTGAAGTAGACACAATACATTTAAAATAATTTCTGTAAATTTGTCTATACTAGTAGAGGTAGTAAAAACACTCCTACATGGTTATATTTGATGGAATCCACAACATATTAAAGGAAATTGAAAAAAATCTATTTTAAGAAGCATTGTAAAAGATGTCTTGACTGTCTTTCATTTCTTTTATCTATAATTGGACATGTAAATTTGGTGAAAAGTAAAAAATTAGTGGTTGTACAGGGAGAAATTAAGCATTCTTGGTTTTAAAAAAATTACTACTAGGCTATCAAAAAGTTATGTTCAAAGGAACTTTTCAGACTATCCAGTCTACTACAGGATTGGCTACAGTTGTGACAGAAGTAAACATAGTCCCTTGTATTTACTAAAACTAGGGGGAATTTTAAGTTGGACAACTAGCATTTAAAAAACCTGATGCCCCTTACTAGTGTTCTTGGGAACACCAGTGGCCCATTACCTGTCCCTGCCACAGTCTTTCTAGGTGTTGGCCTCTAGCCTCTTTCCTTCATACTTACGGTTATTCAGATCAAATGAATGTGGCTTTTTCTTTTCACCTGTGAGACTTTCACTTTTTTTTTTTTTTTACTTGTTCCCCAGTACCCACTCTTAATTTGGTCTCTGAAGTATTTTCTGGAGGTCTTTCAGGCCCAGGTGTTCTGAGTGCTACACCTAATATTAACTGAGCATGTAATTAACATTGTTTCGTCGTTTCCAAATCACTCGGGACGTACAGACTGCCCTTTTCATATTTATATACTTAGAATCCAGTGTGGTGCCTGGCACATTACTGCACCTCAGATGTGTGCATGGTTTAAATAGTAGGTATATGTCAACTAGGGAAATAGTGTCTCTCCCACCTATACTTGGGTTCCCTTCTGGTCAGTGGCACATGTGTGGTGCTGGGTTTATATCTAAGTGGCTAAGTACGCCCCCAGCCAGCAGTCTAGGAACACTGTGAGAATGTACGTGTGGGGCAAGAGAGGCCCTGGCAGGCAGATGTTTGTTGCCCAGCACATTGCTCTTGCCATCTTGAATACTGAACGCACATGAAGTAGTAGCAAAAGCAAGCACTTGGATGATCTGGATCTGTTTTATCACAAAGAATAGAATATCACAAAGAGCATACATGTACTTTAATGTGGTATAAATTATGAGGTCCTTGTGTAGCAGGAAACAACTGTACAGGTAAGTTACAGGAGTTCGAGTGCTATTTATAAAAATCTACTGAATATTGTTTTGGAGAAGCTTGAAAATGGGAAAAGCACCAAACTTAGAACACATGAATTCTAGGCACAAATGGTCATTCCTTCAGTTTTTTTCTTATAAGAGACTTGGACAGATCCTATCAAAGGTTTTAGTTCTAATATTCTATTTTATAACTCTGGTAGTTGTGCTATGTCAGGTGTTCACATTAAAAAAAAAATTGAGAGTGGTGGAATTTTGTTATTAGAATACGAGATACACTTTAACTTGTGGAAATGTAACCTCCTTGAAGGTAGGGACTGGATCTTTTTTTTTTTTTTTAATATTTCAATATTTATTTTTGAGAGAGAATGAGCAGGGGAGAGGTAGAGAGAGAGTGAGACAGAGGATCCAAAGAGGGCTCTGCAGTGACAGCAGAGTCTGATACAAGGCTTGAACTCATGAACTGTGAAATCATGACCTGAGCTGAAATCAGGAGCCACCCAGGCACTCCAAGACACGTATCTTACTGTTAGTATCTCTTGCATGTAGTGTGGTGCACTTGGCACATAGTGGGCACTCAGTAATTATTTACTAAATTGTGCTCAGTATCCCTGAGGATGTTTACTTTTCTTCTTCTTCTGAAATTTCCCTAAGTGTTAACTTTTGATTTTTTATTTTAAAAATTTTTATAAAAGCAGTACATATATTTTAAATCACTTAGAATTAATTGAAATCAACTTTCTGTGATGCACCATGTTTATGCTCTTGGCACATTACAAACTCCTTGGAAGTGTGAGAACTCCTGTTTGAGACAAACTACATCAAAACATAGATGCTGAAGTTCAAGAATGTTGAACATTTGATTTCTATGCCTTATGTTACATTCTGACTCCATATTTAGAAATTATAAAGAACATACGCTTTTAATCCTGGGTATGAATCCTGCAACCTGTATTACCCTTAGGTAAATTATTTAACCTGACTCTGTTTCTTCATCTGTAAAATAGGAACCAATTTTTAGGAAACTTTGAGTAACACTATGAAGACTAAAATGTTAACAAAGTGCCTGGCACATAGGATGGATCTTCTTCCTCCGTCTATTGAGCACTAAAGAATATTGCTTCCACATCAACTGTAGAGTGAGACCAAGATACCATTAATACCATATGGGTGAACAAGATAATGCCAGACTGTTTTCCAAAGTGGTTTATAAGAGTTCCCTTTGCTCCACCAAGATTGCCAATATTTGATACTGTCAACTTTATCAAAAGGGTTCAATGGAATTTCATTCTGATGTTAATTTGCATTTCCTAATTATTAACTTGCATATTCCTAATAATTTCCTAATTATAAAAGACTGATTCAAAATATTTAACAACCAGACATAGCTGATATAGGAGGACCCTCTACCAGTCTAGGTATTAATCTTGTAATTTTTGGTGTGGGGAAATAGGGAATCTAGGGACTTGGGTAGCCAGGGTAGCTTGAGTGTCTCAAGGCAGTGAAACATAAGTATATTTATGTACATAAAGTACATAAGTACTTTAAGAACTGTACAGCCACATCAGCTAAGTATTAATGTTTACTTCTTTTCTGTGCAATGACTATTTCTCTCCTGACACTTTTTCTATTGGGTTATCTTTGTTGATTCATAGTTACTCATTATATCCTGGATTCTACCAAATTCATTATCAGTATATGCTACATACCATATCCCAGTTGTGTCTTACAAGCAGAAAATTCTTAATTTTCACGTAGAATTTATCACATGTTCACTACAGGCAGCACTTTTTTGTGATTTAACATTTGATATCTGACAGGGAAAAGTCCTCACCGTATTACCCTTTTTAAGAACATCATGGCTATTCTCGGCTTATCTTCTATATAAATTTTAGAATCCTCTTTTTAGGATAATCTGAAGAAATCTTGGGATTTTACACAGATATGCCTTTAGCCAATGGGGTCTAACTTGGGAAGAACTAGCATGATATTAAATCTTCCTATCCACGAACATGGTTATTCCTCCATTTGTGCATATCCTTCTTTTAGTGCCCTTTGATAAAATTTTGTAATTTTCTCCCTAAAAGTATTGTAAATCATTTGATTTATTCCTTCTATATTCTGTCTTGTTATTTTAAAGTGTGCTTAAAAAAATAATTTGTAAGCTTTTTATTGCTTTTTTAGACAGTGAAGATACAGTAATATTATGAAATGTTTTAATTTAAAAAAATATGAGCAGGATTATATTAAACTGTATAACATATAATCTATGCCATTGTAACTTAAATAATAAAATCTGCTGTGATTTCAGACCAGCAGATATACCAGGAAGTTCAGGCTTTGGGGTAAATGGAGATACTTTATCAGCAGAGGGAGCACATTACTCCAATATTGCTAAATCTTTCAGGCTGTGGCTCTTTTGTCTCTTGGCCTTATAGGCTGGACGCAGGAACTCTATCTTTCTCTTCTTGGCTTCACTTTTATTTTTGTGTTTCTTCAGCTTTTTCTTGGCAGCAATATCAGGATTAGTTACGAACTTGAAAAAAGAATAGAAATTTTATATTACTTTAAAAGTAAATATTAAACCAATAAAAACCAAATGCAGAAATGGGCCATTTTGTTCACCTTTAAATATCACAAATGCAGCACATTCCCATTAAAGAAAATCTGGAGCCCCACCTATAAAGTCCCCACTTCTCAAACACAGCCAATTCCTCTTTCCTCTCTGTGTTAAGTGTGACACATACACATGCACACACCTGTGGTTAAAAATATCTATTAAGGAACACGCTATATTTTCAAACAGCAAACATACCTCTAAAGCCTTCCTCTTTTTCCGGAGTGCCCTTTTCTCATTAGCCTGTTTCTGTACAGAGGCAAAAGCTAAGGAGAAGCTCTCAAGCCCAACCAGCTTTTTGAGTAATTCTATGATTTCCTGCGATAGATTCTTCAGCAGAGGATCTGATCACACACAGAGTAATAATTAGTCACATAGGAAAAGACACATTTAACATCTATAAAATCAAGAACATGCAAAATTTAACCCCTGTGGAATCATCACTTTTATTACCTGAACATTAAACACTGATCTAAAACCAGCCTCTATGTTTCTGAGATGTGAAAAAAGGAAGTGTTGGGTAGGACACTTCCTAGCCACCACCACTCATCTGGGAGGCACTAAGAGTATCACAGACTCCATGAAGCCCACTTACCAGTGGAATCCTGGCTCAGAAGACACTAATTTGAGAAGCTGACAGAAACATTTTGGGTTACTTTATTAACCTGCTCAACTCTGCAGATGGGAAAGGTAAATATTTCTCTATGCCCCTTCTAATTCATGGGTCACAGATGCTTAGTTCTGGCCACAGCTTTTTTTTTTTTTTTTTTTTTTTTTTTTTTTTTTTTTTTTTTTTTCTCCGTTGTGGGGGGAGGTTAAGACTTCTGAGAAACTGACAAAAATCTTTGCTTTCCCACCCTTCCCTACCTTCTGTCTCCCAAATACACATAACCCACATATTTCTGTATTCAATTTCAGGGCAGCTGTTCTAGATTACAAAGTTTTCTTTGAATATTTCTTGAAGATAAGGACTAGGTCTTTTCTCCAATGTTGAACCCCCAGTACCTGGCAAATATTACATGCTCAATAAATGCTGAATAATAAGAACCAAAGTGGACCTGGCCTTGACCACTGCTTTTTCCTCTCTGAGAGGAAGGAAATGTATAGTTCCTGCTTTGATACTCACTTGTTTTACTTTAAAACTTAATACCTACTTTACCTCCTCTTTCTAACCCCCATTCCCTCTTTTCCTATCATCAAAAGAGAATTTAGGATCAGTGAGGGAAATGTACAAATAAATGCCCAGGCAAGGAAAATGACATATAGGAACAGTAAACAACATATTTTTAAAGTATTTCATACTTTTGCCTTACAGTTCACAATAAAGAATACCATGACATTTTATTGTTCATTATTGTCCATAGCACTATGGGGTTTAGAACCACCTCAACTTATAGTTTTCTTTGAATATTTCATCTATGCTTAGGAGTAAAACATCTTTTAGGAGAGAAACATCACTCTTAGACATGAGGAAGCACACAGAAGGCAGTCGTAGATAAAACAAAGATGCCTTACTTGTTTGCTATTGTTTTGATACCTAGCAAGTTTTCTTAAAACTCTGGCAGGGAAGGAAGATAGAAAAGAAGGAAGCATTTAGGAGAGAAGTGAGGATATCTAATGTACAAGTATTCAGAAAACAGGCTGCAGTTACCCTGGTCTGAATAGGTGCTGTTCAGTTCTCGGAACAAAGGAGCTATGATCACTGGGAGATACGGCTTCACCTTGTCTATTCCAAGATCCATTGCCACAGCTCCAAGAAACTTAAAGATGCATGTTCTCTGAAAGTACAGATCATTCATTGTTATCTGAAGTGTTTCTTTTATTGCAGCCATATAAACAATTAATTCAGAAAAGGTCTCTTTGGGGGCAGATACTATTGCTGCAGTTTTTGGTTGAAGAGTTTCTAGAGATGTGGGAGCATTACTAATACCACTGAAATACTTTAAAAAAAAAAATGACTACTTTCAGGCATTCTGAACATTCACTGCACCTTTAAGGGGTTTCTAGGTGAGTAGGCAGCTTCCAGTTTTGCAATCCAGGACAACTTCTGGATCAACCACAGCAGTGTGGCTGGCTTGCTGTGCTCTTCCTTTGCCTCCTTGTTTTCTTCTTTGTCAGAGTCCATCTCCTCATCTGCACAGGACTTGCGTTTTCTTATTTTCTCTCTGGCTACACCATCTCCCAAAGCTGCTTGTTCTTCCATGTCTTCTTTTATCTCACCTTGCTCATCCTCAGAATCAGATTCCAATAAATATAAGACTTTGGCTACAAATAACAAATTCTTAACAACCTTTAAAAAAGGAAGGGAGAGAAAGGGAGGAATTGGACTTTGATTTTCAAACAGATATGGCTCAGTAAAAAATAGGTATTCTACAATTAGGAAAAAACTCCCCCAAAACAGGTATTGCACTATTAAACTGATGATCATTCCATTTTTTTGATAATTCAGTTCTACCTTATAATATACCCAAACCCATTTCCATGTAACTTATCTACTTGACCTAGTTCTACCTTTTAAGGTCACAAAGAATAAGTAAATAATTTCATTCTAGACTATCCATTTACATTTTTGAGAGAACTTTCATCCCTCCTCTATTAAATTTCTTCATAGAAATAACAGTTTCCACTTATTGAGCACGGATTCTATATACAGCATTCTAATTCAACTTTAAAATATCACTATTAGGTACTATTATCAGGAGAGAAAATCAAGGCTCAGAGTTACTAAGTGACTCACCCAAAGGCAAAGCAAGTCGTCAGCCAAGACTGAATGGTCTTTAGAATTCAAGCCTAAGTTCTTAAACACTGAGCTCTTCCTCAAATCATGTGATCCAGTTAAATAGCCCAGGGACCAATTTTATTTTTTTTTAAAAATTTTTTTTTTCAACGTTTTTTATTTATTTTCGGGACAGAGAGAGACAGAGCATGAACGGGGGAGGGGCAGAGAGAGAGGGAGACACAGAATCGGAAACAGGCTCCAGGCTCTGAGCCATCAGCCCAGAGCCCGACGCGGGGCTCGAACTCACGGACCGCGAGATCGTGACCTGGCTGAAGTCGGACGCTTAACCGACTGCGCCACCCAGGCGCCCCAAGGGACCAATTTTAGTCTTATAATAATGGACCCATATAGTGAGTCCCTAACTCTGACATCCATGAAATCTCTGACATAGATATTTCACATTGATTATATGATGGAGGAAGTCAAGTTGCTTTTGAGTTCCTTTACCATCCTGGCTGCTCTGTTGGGAGTGCTGTGTGCCAAAAGTTTCCTCCAAATGTAGTGCTCAGAATCCCACATACTGTCCAAGGTTAGCTTGGCCATCAAGAATTCATGCCAAGATTGTAATTTCCTTCTGGAAGCTTGGTCTCCCTAAAGACAGTCCCAGTTTTGGAGGCCTTTTCCCCTTGTGGCAGCCACTTCACAGTTAACTCACCGTAAGATCACAGTGAACTAAATTCCATTAATTTCTTTCATCCCAGGTTAGTACTAGCAAATCCCTTCCTGTCCCTAGTTTCCGTGGTTGTATCTGTCAGCCTCGATTAACATTGGTATTTTGTGAGACACCACCTGCTATCTACCCTGTTAGGATTTCTTTGGCTTCACTTTGCTATCCACTGAATAGCTATCCATTCTTTCTCTGGCCCTGCCATATAATGAAGCATACTATATTTTCATATAAAAAGTGATGGAAATATCAGGGCTTATGGCATCCTACTTGAGATCACTCTTTGGATACAGTGTTCACCTAGCTTCTTGTGTCCCATCATTTAATCTGTATTGCTGCTCCATTGTGTCCATAATGATAAGAGTCATGAATAAGTGTCTTGCTCATACCAAGATACCACATCTGTGTATCTCATCTACCAGCCCGATGGCTTTATCAAAGGAGGAAAAAATAAAGGGAATAGACCTTACTCAAAAGTAATTTACATTTACTGCATATTTATACATGCTTCTCTATATTCACAATTTACTTACAGTTACATTTTATAGTATGAAAACATAAAGTTTTTAGTGATTTATCTGCCTTCAGTTAAGGATAGACAATTCTCACACTACACTGTAACATAACTATTACTTCTTTCTCTTCAACTTCCAGGGGTAAGGGAAAGAAATTCAGTACTGTAGTTCATTATAGGGACAATGAAAATCAACCAACCAACCAAAGCCCTTCAAAGCTGGTCACAACGTTGAGTAGATGGTTAAAACTGAACATGAAAAGATTAACAGTCAGGCTCTCACTGCACCATCTTTATTGGGCATTTTATTTTTTTTTTTTTTCAACGTTTATTTATTTTTGGGACAGAGAGAGACAGAGCATGAACGGGGGAGGGGCAGAGAGAGAGGGAGACACAGAATCGGAAACAGGCTCCAGGCTCTGAGCCATCAGCCCAGAGCCTGACACGGGGCTCGAACTCACGGACCGCGAGATCGTGACCTGGCTGAAGTCGGACGCCTAACCGACTGCGCCACCCAGGCGCCCCTTTATTGGGCATTTTAAATGAAGCCAAGAATAACCCCAACATAGACTCCAGAGTTGATTAGATTTATAACTGAACACGTATTTCAGTGTATGCCTATATTTCATTTAATTCCCCAAGCATTAAAATAGGAAAACAAACCAACAAAACCCCCCACAAATACCAAATGTAAGCCTATTCCTATACTTGGTAGAACAGATCCCTTCTATTAAACCAGCAGGGTGACAATACTGACCTGTTCTCCTAGAGATTGATCTAAGAACTTGGAATGCAACTGATGGCAAGAGGCTAGGGAGATACTTTTCATCTGTGAAAAGAAAATGGACATTGGCAGACACTATGCAGGGTATTTCTGATTGTTTTTAAAAAGTCCAAGTAACCAACCATAATAATATAACTGAAGTGCTAGATTTTGTTCTGAATGACTTGTATAGGTCTGGAGAGGGAAGGTCTCTACTTTCTACCTGCCCCAAACATTTTAGCTCAAATAAAGGGGATATTTTCAAGCTTTGGGGATATTAATAATCCCTCAGATTATTAGCAGGAAACTTTACAACAGTCCAGTATTTTTTTCCTTTTTTTCCCCCTCCATCTTCCAATCATTCACTATTTATGGAGTCTCCACTGAGTCAGGCATTGTGTTGGGCCCTAGGAAATCAGAGATGGATGTAATATGGTCTCTACCTAAAATTTTCATGAACATGATCTCAGTCATCAACAGGTTATGAAGGAGGCGGGATAGACAGTATTGCTCTCATTTTAATAAATCCTATTTTCCAGTGTTGATAAAGAACTTGAACCAATAATAGAAGATGAACAACAGAAGTGGACTAGACTGATAGTCTAAAAATTATCTTTGAAAAACCTTGGCCTTGAGGTTGACCCTTTCTAGTTCCCAGCACACCTACAGAAACCTGCAACAAGTCAGCTGTCAGAGTTTTTCCCAAGGGCCAACTCCCAAATAGTTACATGAACCAGAAGGAACATCTCACATAGATCACAAAGGAAAGAAAAGGTTTTAGAGAAACCTTACCTTTTGTTCAAGGTCATTTGTTAGAAATCTTACTGCTACAGGTTCTGAGAACTTCTTTTTAGTTGTTTTAGACTTCCATTTTCTAGTAAGTTCCTCTGGTTGGCAAGAGGCAAAGAGCAATCCAAAAATCTGGGCTGCAGTGAGCCACACCCAGCTGTGTGGATGTCTCAGGTGACAATGAACATAACCTAAGGGAACCAAAATGCATTTTCAGATGTCTCACAGCTTTCCCAACTCTTTGGTGGTAAATATGATTAGATTAGGCATTCGCTATCTATTACGTGCTTGGATTTAGGAACCAAAGATGAACAACATCTTTTGGCTGTAACATTTACAATTTCTAAATTAGGTAATATAAATTTGTATACAGGCACATGTTTGTTCCTAATAGTTATTGAAATTGGTGGAGAGTTATCATTTATTGAGGCTTTCTGTGTGCCAGGCACAGGGCTCAGTGTGTTACATATGTTTCATTTAGACCTCACAACAGTTCTGTGACCTTACAACTGTCAGTTGCATTTTACAGATGAGGAAATGTTTCAGAGGGGCCAGATGAGGCACCACGCTGTAACAGGCAAAACCAGGCTTGGGCCCCAGCTTGATCTGGCCCCAAACCTTACACTCTTATGTTACATGGCCACTCTCCATATATTACACTTGGAAAATACAGTAGAAAAGCCTTGTGGGTTGTAGGGAACAAGATTAAAATTCTGGATGAACCATATCATATCTGAGTCTTAGTCTATGCTGTTATACATTTCATAAACATGGTTTTACTTTTGTTCTATATGTATTGTATTTTCTAATAATCTGGCCATGTCTCTGTGGAATCATACCAGAGTAGGCCATATAGTAATTTAGTAATTTCCATAGGATCATGAATTCTTTTAAAACAGGTGGGTACTTAAAGCATTCATTCCAATGTCTGTTTCCTATTGGCTAATCAAGTTTAAGTATGTTAAATTAAAAATTCTAGGATCTTATTTGTTATTTAAAGAGCGATATACAGGGGCACCTGGGTAGCTCAATTAAGTGTCCAACTTTGGCTCAGGTCAAGATCTCATGGTTCTTGATTTTGAGCCCCGTGTTGGGCTCTGTGCTGACAGCTCCTGGAGCCTGCTTTGGATTCCATGTCCCCCTCTCTCTCTGCCCCTCCCCTGCTCGTGTGCTCTCTCTCAAAAATAAATATATATATTAAAAAAAAGAGTGATAGACAAAAACTTAAATGTCTCCCAAGGGTTAAATGGTTTACTAAATCATGGCATATTTGCATGGTGGACTATTTACAGCTATTTTAAAAAGCTTTCTACTGAGTGTGTTATAGTATAATAATATTCTTATTTAGGTACAAACAAGATATAAGTTTATATGGAATTATGCAATCTCTAAAAAAAACCTGTGTCTATATATAACAAAAAGACAGACTGGATGGAAATATATACCAAATTAACACCAAGCAGCAAGGAAGACTTTGAAAAACTTTCCTTTCTTTTACTTTCCCATAATTAATATTCCTTCTTTTACAAATGAAATGTATTACTTGTGAAATCATAAACATATTATTTTTCCTAGAAACATTTTCACTATAATCAATTTGAAAGGGTCTTTTAAATCTTTTTCTCATGAACTTTTCCCCTGACATTATAGACTTTCTAAGTATTCATACTCTAATTCCCCAAATTGGTTTTTAGTAATTCTGTCACAACTAATGTGTTTGTTTTTAGATGTAAATAAAAAGGAAATACTTACTCCAGATTTTATTCAGCGTCTCAGAGGGCTTGGTAAACTGAATAATATTACATTCCTTGATGAGTTTACTAATCAGTGTAAGAAAACTAAACAGAAGGCGATCTGCAGCTTTTTCTTCAGTCTCTTCCATGATCTAAAAACAGGATGGATATAAATCCATTGAGACAACTTCAGGGTTTCTATCAGTACTACTGTCACTTTGGGTCAGTTTTTTGTTGTGGGTGCTGCCCTCTGCACTACAGGCTGATCTGCAGCATTCATGGTCTCTGCCCGCTAGATGCTAGTAGCACCCTCCACGCTCCAGTTGTGACAACCAAACATGTCTCCAGGTGTTGCTAAGTGTCTAGAGGGGTTGGCAGTGGGGTGGTGAAATCCCCCTGCTGGAGAAACTTCGATCTTCACATACTATGGAAGATAACTTACTTTAAATCTCATTTTAAAAAAGAAGATCCAGCTACACTGAATTCTTGCTTTCATTAAGAAACATTTTTGAACACACATAATATTTAAGCTGTTAGCTAAACCACCTTAAGTAAAACTACAAAAATTAGCACAAGTTTTATTCTCTGGCAAATTACTTACATCTTTAAAGTTTTCAGGATCAATTTCCTTTTCAATCACAGGAAGAATAGTTCCAAGTCTTCTCTCAAAAGAGACTCCTTCACTTTCCACAAACAAGCCACAGATGAGGGCAGCTAGTTGCCTATTTAAGCTCTACCAAAAATAAACCACAGAAAGACAATGTTTTTTTTTTTTTAATTTTTTTTTTTTCAACGTTTTATTTATTTTTGCGACAGAGAGAGACAGAGCATGAATGGGGGAGGGGCAGAGAGAGAGGGAGACACAGAATCGGAAACAGGCTCCAGGCTCTGAGCCATCAGCCCAGAGCCTGACGCGGGGCTCGAACTCACGGACCGCGAGATCGTGACCTGGCTGAAGTCGGACGCTTAACCAACTGCGCCACCCAGGCGCCCCAGAAAGACAATGTTAATAACACAACTTGGTACGCCATTTCCAAATTCATAAAATAAAATGGGCATGACTCTGTCCTCAATATTTCTTTTTTAAATTTTTTTCTTAATGTTTATTCATTTTTGACAGAGAGAGAGAGAGAGAGACAGAGCATGAGCAGGGGAGGGGCAGAGAGAGAGGGAGACAAAGAATGCGAAGCAGGCTCCAGGCTCCGAGCTGTCAGCACAGAGCCAGACACAGGGCTTGAACTCACGAACTGCGAGACTGTGACCTGAGCCGATGTCAGACACTCAACCGACTGAGCCACCCAGGCACCCCTCAATATTTCTTTATAATGCCAGAAATCAATACAATATGGATCTTTGGTGGCTTAAAATGAAAAATATAGAGAATCTTCACACCCAAGAATAACATTAAAAAAGAAATGGAACTCATCATTACCCACATTCTCCCATTTTAAATTAAAAAAAAAAAAAATCAAGATGAGCACTGAATAATATACAGAATTGTCGAGTATCAATGTCGTACACCTGAAGCTAGTAACACTGTGTCAATTATATTCCAATAAAAAAAATTTAATTAAAAAACTGGAAGTTGCATACAATACCCCCCCATTCTAACTTTAATACGTATTACAGTCAATATTAAGATACAACACGTTTATATTCCACAAACATGGGCCACTGTTGATGGTGGCAAGTCAGCAAGTGGATATAATCACTGACAAACATTACATTTCATTAACTGAATATGCGAAACTGAAAACAAAGATATTCATCATTGGGGACTGGTTAGATACATTCGATACATTCATATAGCAGTGTCATTGGCTGACAATCATGTCGTGGGACTACAGGTGATTTTCATGTTACTCTCTATAACTTACATTTCCTGAAGTTTTACTATAAGAATATATATATATTTTTAAAATTTTATTTCCAATATAGTTAACATACAATTAGTTTCAGGTGTACAATATAGTGATTCAACAATTCTATACATTATTCAGTGCTCATCATAAGGATACTCTTTAATCCCTATCACCTACTTAACCCATCCCCCCCACCCAGCAAGAGTACATTATTAACATAATCTACTAAAAAAAATAAAATTTGGGAAAAATTCAACAATGTTTAAGACGTATTCTTATTTAAAGTGAATACCAAAAGCTAAGACTTTTCATTGAAATTTAACTAAAAGCAACCTTAACCTTTTTTGCTCCAAACCAGGTGGTAACCATATCAAAGAGCCAATCTTTTTTCTCAAGGTTGATTTTACTGAGTAAAGATTTGATTGTCATGGATGCCATCTTCTTGCACATGGCAGAATCATCGTTCACCATCATTAGACAAAGAGGAATAAAGAACATTCCACAGTTCTCATGGAGTAGTCCCTAGAAGAAAACAGGCAGTTAAGAGCACACTCAGACTGGAATTCTTATGGATGCCCAAACAAGGGAGGCTCCCTGTGGGCCCCCAGGGCTCAAGGGGAACATAGCTACAATCTGTGATTCAAGGTACCTGAGGGAATGTGTCAAAGAGATAGGAGATCATTTCCAAGGCAGACTCTCTCCCGGTCTCATGTTCATAACTAAGGCAAGAACATTAGATAGACTTGTTAGTATCTTTTCAATTACCAATAATTGTTTTAAAAATTTTTAAACATTGTTTTAAGGTATCAGTCTGTTTCTTAAAAAGTAGAAAAAAATATCCATGTTCCCAATTTTAATACTTATGTAAATCTATCATGCTACTATTCAGCTTTAAATGTGATTCTGTTAGATTTTTACCATTCTCCTTAAATAGACTCTTAATGAAAATCAGTGGTCAGACCGAATTGGAAAAGCAACTTACACAACTGTCACATGAAGCCATGCACACTGTTTGATAATCAAGTCAATGATTCAAATGATAACACCCTCAGATGTTTAGATTTTGTCATTTTCCAGACAGGTGCCACAATAAAATGAGAGGAAACTACTCTTCTGCCCCTATGTAGTTTATGGCTTAAACTTACTTGAGTTGAGCAAGCATGAATTCCAAGTTTGGTCTCAATTTGTCACCCAGGGGATAGTCAAGAATATATTTCAGAAAAACCTAGGAACAGAAGTCACATAGATGATTATTTGGGTCCTATCTCTCCAGGATTTCTGCTTCCTAACCTGCTGATACACTGTTCAGTTACAAAGACCTTTCAGAAGACTGATCAATCCTCCTGAGTCAACTGCACGCTTTCCTTTCTTCTCCTACTTCACTTACTCAGGTCCTGCCCCAAGTGCCTGATTAAAAGTCCTAGCCTACCACTGGCATGGTTGTTTTGGGCTCCAGATCTAAGCTCACGTGTTGGAAGCTCCTCTCTTCCATAGGTAGTGGGGTATGGTGGACTGGACTGTGGTTCACCCCTGTATTTCCCCTTGAATGACAGTGATGATTGATATTAATACAGATAATACTAATTCATTTATTAATTATATGTCAATTCTATATGCCAAGCCCTGTGCTATGTGTTCCTCAGTTAACTGTCATCACTTTCTTGGAAAGTAGGGGATATTATCCCCATTTTACAGATGAAGAGAATGAAGTTGGCACAGAGAGGTGAGTAACATGCTCAGGTGACAGTGCCAGAATTCCATGCCTGGTCTATCTGCTTTCAAACCATTGTACTAGTTTATTAATAAAAGTAATTAATAAAATAAGTATTTATATATAAGCTATTATATATCAATAGCTTTCTGCTACTGGAATAAAGCCCTAAATAAATCTTTAACAAGTACACGAGGTCTTGCCTGACCTGGCTCCCTTCCCCACCTCACTTAACCTTCATTTATCTCCTCTAATAAATGAGGCCCTTACCTACCTCAAGGCTTACCTTCCTTAGGCATTGGCTGCTCCCTTCACCTGGAAAGCTAAGCCTTTTTCTTCCTTCGCATTTCTGCTCTCAGGAGAGCCCTTCCTGATTCTAACACCAGGGTGGTCCTCAACCTGATCATATGTTCTTATCATCTACTCTTCCATATTTTGTCAATTCTAAGAAGCACAGTTTTTCACATTTTAACAGATCTGAAATTGGGATGTATCTTAAAATTGATAGCATCTTACCACTGTGTCATAGTGTTTTCTTTCTTTGAAGTATATAAATAAAGGTATGTTTTATAAATAATGAAATATGACAGTGCTTTCTCCCTCCTGGCACTTAGGATGCCTGTAATTAAATACCTGTGGAATTTTTGCTTTGTGCCTGTGTACTTTAAAATTTCACTATCTGACAGGGACTATAAAAATTTTGTTGACTGCTTTTCCAGCAGCACCTGGCACATAGTAATATGCATAAGTAGTTGATGACTGGACCAATGGATGGAAATATTTGGTGCAGGCTATCATGCTACAGAAGGAAAATATACATCTTTATCCATTTGAAACATTCCACATATGATGGGTTATTCTCAAAATGCTCTTTGTTAACTGAAATGCCCTTAAGGCAGAGCAGACATGCTTCTCACACTTGGTAAGTAAATGGGTTCCTGAGTCTCAGAATAAAGCAACAATGTGACACAAAATTATCTTCAGAATTCAGTCAATGTTGACATGTCTATCTAAATATGGAACAGAGAAGACAGGACCCAACACTTGCTATGGGAATAAGGCTTCTTCTCTACAAACCTGTCTGCATTGGACTCTGACAGGTTCACTTTGTGCAGAAATTGCCAACTTGGATACTTTCCGCATGACATCATCGATTTCTGGGACTAACAACTTCCTTGATAAAATGGCCTAAAATAAAAAAAGGAAGACATCTCATTTCATGTTCTACTGCAGATGGTTGTAAGCTGATGCACTGTTAAAGCAGTCACACGCAATTTTCAAAAATAATGAAAGTAACCTTCAAGAGAAAAAAAACATACACTTAAAAATGGTTAAAATAGTGACTTTTGTTTTATGTATTTTATAATTAAAAAAAGAAAAAAGCTCCACAAAGTCCAATACAGTAAATACAAGCATTTTTTAAACTTTCCTCTACTTTTATAGAAGGCTCTGGAAGTGTTAATTGAATTCATGTTCAAACATTTTAATAAGTAGGTATGTTAGATTACCATTAATCCATCAAAATCATCACAGTGTTTATAAATTAATTTTGGAAATCCACAGCTAGTCAAAATACTTTGTTCCACATTATTCTAAGTATCTAATCTGAGGCACATAAACTGTAAAATCCAACATTCTGGTGATACCATACCTTCAGAAGACCAAATGCAGTGGCCTGTCTTGAAGTATCATAAATGTCTTCTTCAGCATATGCTAGTAGAACTTGAAGCTGCTTTTCGGTTATCTGGTAAGACTTCACTTTCTTCACAACTATGGTTACACACTGTAAATTAAACTAGTGAGGTTAATAGCCAGGACATCCCACGAATGAAGAATCAGTGAAATGGTAAGGCCTTAATACAACATCAATGCTTTTTCACACAGGATACCAACCCTCTGGCCTTAGCAAATTAATCTGGAAAGAATTCTGAACAGGACCAAAGGACAATGAGGAAACCTAAGTTTGATGTTAAACCTGGTCCTGGCTCTTTCGAAGTATAACTAAAAACACCTCACCTTGAAACAATTTACCACCAGGTGGAAGTTCTGGCCCCTGGCAGCTCCAAGTTTTGCATAGTCCTTCAGCAACAGGAAGAGGTGTTTTGTCAGCTGTTCTGCTTTTGTTTCTATGGAAGGCAGAGGGAACCTCAAGACCCAGATCAGGCACTGTAAAGCACCTGTGATCACCTGAAAAACAAAACCAACCAATTTATGTAGTGATCAAACCCAACAGTCAAGCACCTGAGGCTGTGTAGACTCTATAAGCAATCAAGTTGAAAAAATGAAATACTCTGCTCAGCCCACTCTAGAAGAACCATATACCAAAAGCATAAGAAGAGAAGGAGATTTCCTATTCCCTGTGGTAGAACTTACTGCTTCTCTAAGGCACATAAAGGTGATGCAAGTAAATAAGAAAGAGTGCACCATATTCTTAACCTATATGAGTCAATGACTGGAAGAACTGGCCAATTTATTTATTTTCAATGTTTTTATTTTTTATTTTTGAGAGAGAGAGCAGGGGAGAGGCAGAAAGAGAGGGAGAGAGAGGATCCCAAGCAGGCTCTGCACTGTCAGCACAGAGCCCAATGTGGGGCTCAAACTCATGAACTGTAATATCATGACCTGAGCTGAAATCAAGAGTCAGATGCTTAACCAACTGAGTCAGCCAGGCATCCTGAATTGACCAATTTCAGCAACTTTTTTTTGTGTCTGGAAAGATACATTATAAATGACTTTTCTATTTTCTAGAATGGTACTTTAATCCATTCTAAGCAACCGTATACAAGGCACTCTAAAAATCAGAATTACAAAGATAAAGAGAACACCACCCCTCTATTTAAAGAGCAGACAGCTGGCTAAGAAATTAAGCATGAGAACAATACACTACAATTTAATATAGTTAAGTGCTTTGCAAAGATATGAAAAAAGTGTGCTGGGACCAAGCGATGACATGAGAATCCTTGACCTCCGGCTCAAACCTTAGAGACTATTGAGATCAGTTACTTCACCTAGTTCAGCTGTGCCTAATAGACCCACACTGCTCTGGTTGCTGTAAGGTCTTCTTGGGCTGGATTAGATGAAGCCATAGAGGAAAGGTCTTTGGAGTCACAAAGGCCAGGGCTTAAATCCCAGCTCTGCAGTTTATTACCTATTCAACTACAGAGATGTTACTTAACCTCCTGGCACCTTGACTATAAGACAGGCAGTCAGGAAATGGGAGATGTGTCGGCTCTGGAGTCTGACGGACTGATATCCTAGATCTGTGATCTAGGCCAAGTCAGCTGATAGCCTACTTTTCTCACTGATAAAACAGAAGCATTAATAATATGTGCTTCATAGGTTGTTATGAGGATTCACACCAGTGAGGGCAATAGTGACAAGGATGATGGAGATGATCAGTGCTGACATGGTGACACCATTACTCAGCCTCATGATGTTGCAAGGACCCAATGAAATAAGTATAATGTATCTACCAGAGCCTGTAAAACTGTTGAAGGCTATCCAAATATATGGCTGGAAAGCAACGTAATGTAGGGAACAGAAGTCGTTCACAATATCATAAAGCCACTTAAAAACTCCATCATCTTGTGAAGCACAAGCCTAAAAGTTCTGGGTATTTTGTGCAACATAGTTCTCATGAAGGAACAGAAGCTCACCTTCACATCCATGGAAACCAGGCAGTCTATGAGGAGAGAGACAAAAGGATCCAACATTTCCAGAACAGGTTCACTTGAAGACTTGATCTTGGAAGTCTTTAGACTCAGATGCAGCAGCTAAAAGATTCAAAAAGATATTTCATACCAGTTGCCCATAAGACCAAATGAGTTAGGTAAAGGTAAAATGATTTTAAGAGAGATACATGAAACATTAAGATGCTTCCATTTGAAGCGACAAAATTCTGAAGGAATGGTAAAGGGCCTGGGAGACTCTCAGTAAGTGAAGAAGGTGGGAGTTCACTGTGCAGCTGAGATGCTGAGTTCATTTACCAAATGATTACTCAGGATTTACTTTGATTCGAGGCACTGGGTTGGCACACAGGGCACAGCAATGATCAAGATGAACATGGTTCCTGCCTGATGGATCTTAACCAGGAAGAGAGACTCTAGCAAATAATTAACTGTAAATTCAGTGTGCTTTGGGAGTTCTGTGGGGACCCTGGCAAAGGGAGGAGCCCGTGGTGAAGTCCTGGAGTGACAGAGTGTAGAGACTATGAAACTGAAGGGAAGCCAGTGTGGCTGAGCTGTGTGTTGGGAATGGTACAATACAAAGTTTGGCCCCTGTAGCCCAGATGAAAGACCAGGCTCTCAAGAAAAATGGGAGCCAATGAAGGTAATAAAAAGGAAATAAAACGATCAGATTTGTGTTTTTAGATGCTTACATCTTTAAAAAAAATTCAAAATAATTTAGAGATGCCCATGGGCAAATCAAAGTGAACCCATAATAAATGTTAGGTCAGAATCATTAACCCTGAGACCATTATATCATCAAAGTAAGTACTAGAAGAGAGAAATGGTAAATGGACCAATGCACCTTTAAAAAAATGGCCCAGGGGCACCTGGGCGGCTCAACTGATTACGTGTCCAACTCTCGATCTCGGCTCAGGTCATGTACTCATGGTTCATGGGATTGAGCCCCACATCAGGTTCTACGCTGACAGTGTGGAGCCTGCTTGGGATTCTCTCTCTCCCCCTCTCTCCGCCCCTCCCCTGCTCACGCTGTCTCTCCCTAACTAAATAAACAAACAAACAAACAAATAGCCTGTAATTTATTTCTGATAAGGCATTTACAGTGGGAATGAGCAGAGGACTGAAAGGCACACTCACTGTGGGCAGCAAATCACACTTTAAGGGTTAATTCTTACCCGGAGTCCAGACTCAATAAATATGTGCATGTTGGTTTTCCTGCTCACAACAGCTTTCTGCCCACCTCGAACTGGAGTTGGGGGGAGCAGAAGACAGCTCTGGGGTGGCAGACGTGGATCCAGTGCAGGGGCTGCTGGGTTTCTGTCAATCACAAAGGAAAAAAACAGGGGCAAGAACACTGTATGCTGCACTCTAAGTCACGTGACCCTGTCTGGTGACTGGAGTCCAGCACTAAGTAGTATGCTATTCACTGTGGGCTTTTTTTCTCCTTCAACCATGAGAAAAAGATTATTAGGTTGTTGATCAAAGCTGTAGAACAACCCCAGAAACAGAAATCAGATTGATGAACACACGTTTAAATTAAGATGAACAGTAAAAGGACACTCCCTTGATGTTTGAAAACAAATGCCAAGGAGTTTCTTTTAGAACCCAAAAGCAAAATCCAAAGGAGGTATTTTAAAACCTTTTCAGGTTTGGATATCTATTTAATCAGAAGAAAAGCTACGTATTTAAAATCTATCCTAACTTTGATTCAATAAATAACATAACTGGCTGCTGTCACAGCTAACTTACTCATTTATCAGACAATCATCTCATGCTGAGATTTATCATCTGGAAGGGCTTTAGCCCAAACACCACAAAGGAGAACCATTCATAACTCAAATATGTATAGCATATATTATACAAGTATGTAATTGTATATGTATTAATTATGTATATAATTATATGTACACATAAATAATTGTACATGTATTATAAATTATGTAATTGTATAATATATGTAAACATGCATATGCAGTAAAACCTTGGTTTGTAAGCATAATTCATTCCGGAAAACATGCTTGTAACCCGAAGCACTTGTATATCAAAGTAAATTTCAAGAACCGTTGGCTCAGTTGTGATCATGTGATATATGGCATCAGGTACTACTTATATTGCAAGACGTCACTCTTTTATCAAGTTAAAATTTATTAGAAATGTTTGCTTGTCTTGCAGAACAAGTTACTCGCAATCCAAGGTTTTACTCTATGTGTGTGTGTGTGTGTGTGTGTGTGTGTGTGTGTGTTTTAACTAAGGTAAATTATTAAATTAACTCACTTAAGAGTAAATGAAAACTGAATGGTTTATCAGAAGCAAGCACCCAAGGATAGTTGTTTTTTTTTTTTTTTTTT